GTTAAAGACCAAAACCAAAAAAAATAAAACCCTCTTTATTTATTTTTGCCAAAAACTCAAAAGTCGAGTCGAACACATTTCTTACAAGAAAATAGAGGGTGATACGTGTGCTGCACACCACAAACAAAACTCTCRAACCATATATGCTTTTACAAACAGCATTAATTAGGCTTTCCAAGATGATAAAGGAGGAGTATCCGAATCCAGATATGTCGAAATACCAGCACCATATCGTGCCCCCTTCACCGAATCAGCTGAAGCAACGGATTCCAGTACAGCCATGTCTTCTGCTGTTAGCTTAACTGATAAAGCTCCTATGTTCTGTTCAAGATTTTCGATCCTGGTGGTTCCTGGAATAGGCACCACATCGTTTCCCTGGTGGTGAACCCAGGCCAATGCCAGCTGCGAAGGGGTGCACCCTTTCTTTGCTGCTAGTTCATTAACCCTTTCATACAGAATCTTGTTATGATCAAGATTTTCAGGTTGGAACCTCGGCAGGTACTACAAAATCAACATTTTCAAACTTGATATCAATTTCAATCACAATACATTCAATAAGAGAGAAAAAAAATTAAGCTTATGTAATTTTCTAAAGTCTAATGTAAAGGACTCTTGAAGCAACTCGTAATGTTGCTCCATTGTTGCCCAAAGGTGGGGGGTCCTGTGAATAAATAACCTTACATGAATTTTCAGTTAGGAGCATGACCTTCTAAACTTTTTGTAGTTTTAGCTCCTAGTTCAAAAGGGCATGCAGGTTAGATTCTTAAATTCAGAAGGTCATTAAGCTAAATAGCCCCATGGAGGACCATGGATTATTGGCTTTGAGTCACCTAAACATTCTCTTTGCAAAATGCAGGGGAAGTCGGCATACAAAGATGTAGACTAAATCAAGGAACTTGGTATCTCTGTCATTCATAAGAATGTACACGATAGATAACAAACAAGAAGATTAGCTTTTGATTAGGACTAATCTCATCACAAAGTTCTCTTGGTGATTTTAGTTAAAAATCAGTCCATTTGATCTCATAACATTTAGGTTGGAATGGAGGGAGCACACYGATAATGGAAAAAAATGAAAAAACTGTAACCAACAGACCTTACGGAAATCACCATCTTCCAGCTTCTTCAGCATCTTCGGACCAGATGATAAGAAACCCCGTCCTAGAGGACTGTATGCAACAATCCCAATCCCAAGTTCTCTGAAAGAGTATGATATACAGTTATACACAAGTAAGAAATTTGGATTTATAGTACTTCATTACTGATTAAAAGAAGGCAAAAAGGAACAAGATGGTAGCCAACCTGCAAGTAGGAACGATTTCGTCTTCAACATCTCTTGTCCACAAGGACCATTCTAGTTGTATAGCTGTTATTGGGTGCACAGCATGGGCTCTTCTTATGGTTGATGCTGATGCCTCTGATAATCCAATATATTTAATTTTTCCTTCTTCTACCAGCTTCTTTAGTTCTCCCATCTAACAACAAAAAGGATAACTTTTGAGGATATCAATCAATACTAAATGAGATATAACAAGATATTGAATATGGRCCCTSATTTAGATTACTTTGTCGATCCAGACAATCAGGAAGAAACCTTATCTATGATCAATATATGTTGGAAATAAATTGGACTATGATGTTATATGTATCAAGTATCAAAGAACAATTGATTTAAATAATTATACTAGTCAAGAGAATCCTATATCATTTATAATCCGGTCACATATTAAGACATATATCTCCTAATATTAGAAGGATAATTCATTAAGTTAATTACCTGATTAACATTAAGATAAGTGTATGTCTTAGCCTCTAGGTTTCCATGGCCTATAAATAAAGGAGATCCATTCCCTATTTCCTACACAAGTTCTGCATTCGATTCAACCCCATTTTGAAGCAAACGGTATGGAGCTTTAAAGACTAGCTCTTTTGACCTCTGGTCTAAATTTTGCCAATATCTTAAAGTACTGTTTAATAAGGTTTTTACTACAGCTAGTAATTCTTTTTCATTTAAATGATATATTGTTTGGGTATCTGTAAATGTATCAGAACAATATATGCAAATACTTTCTCCAATTTTTTCTTGTTCTGAATAATCAATTTTCCACTCCAATAATTTTCAGAAACGTCGGTTTTAAGAATCTATGTTATCCATTCCCTATTGCCTACACAAATTCTGCATTCAGTTCAACCCCATTTTGAAGCAAACYGTCTAGAGCTTTGGAAGACTTTTTATCCTTCATCCACATAAATCAATTTACTAAACTCTAATATGACATCAGGTTGAAACGATTTTTGATATGTGTTTATGTTCCTATGGCTTCATATTTGTGTTATATGCTTAAGAAAACTTCAATAGAATGATAGCATTATGTTCATGTAATTGGAAGCTCAAACATTCAAGTGAAGTTCAAAAACAGGAAAAGTACTGCAAAAATATAAGAAGGATTAAAACAAGGATCATTTAAAGAGGGAGGAAATGAACCGTGATTTCGATAGGCAAACGAGTGTCAATCCTGTGCTGATAATAGAGATCAATGCAATCGACATCGAGTCGCTGCAAGCTAGCTTCACAAGCAGACCTTACATAGGCCGGATCTCCGCAAATCTCCCTCGCTCCACCCTCGAATTTGAACCCAAATTTCGTAGCTAGCTCCACTTTTTCCCTTATCCCGCCCTTCAAAGCCTGCACATAAGTAATTGTTTGCTAATCAATCCACACAAGAAATAATACTTAGACCCTAAATTTTTCACTAGATCAAATGTATCATGTGTTCTGTCATCTTAATATGAATTGGCAACGACACTCGATCAAAGTGGGGTTTAATTATGAAGCATGTAATTAGTAATAGTAGCAGAACATTACCTTGCCAAGAAGGATTTCATTAGTTTTGGGACCGTACATGTCGGAGGTGTCTAGAAAGGTAACGCCGGCGTTAATGGCGTGGTGGATGAGGTTGATCATGTCAGGTTCAGGTTTGGGGGATCCGTAGAAAGCGGACATGCCCATACAACCTAAACCCTGAGCTGATACTTCTAAACCCTGTGAACCCAATTTGATTCTTGGAATTCCTGCCATTCTCGAAATTTGTTGCTGTTATACGATGGATGGAAGGAGCAGCTCTGGTTTCAATCTTGCAGATGAGTTGATATAAATGCAAATCTGAAGCTGAGTGTGAAGTTGGGGGTAGGTAGAGGAGGTTTGGGGTCAAAACGATGATGGAGCATGACGACAGGTGGACGTAAGCGCCTACGTTTTCCCATGTACGCATGTAGTACATGTCTAAGGGCTGTTTGGAATTGCTTATAAAAGCTGCTTTTTAACTTATTTCAGTCTAACATCGATGATAAGCTGTTTTTTTGGTGTTTGGATAAAAAAAAGAAAATTGTTTATATCGGTGTCAAACCGGTAATAAGCTGTTTTTGATAAGTTAATTCTTTCTGACTTATGAAAAACTGTTTATTACCAGTTTATAATTTTAACCATGTTTTATTTAACTCCGATTTGATACCACATAAGTTAATAAGCACTTTTATAAAAAAAACATAAGTTGTTTTAAATAAGCAATCCCAAACACCCCCTAATTGAAATATGCGACCAAAATATTAAAAATTAAATTTGGATAAATTTCTTATTTTAATTATATATTAATAATCTCATATTTCAATATAAAGAATTTTATTTAATATATACTACTAATTTCAAACAACTTATCACCTAAAAATCCAAATACTTACAAAAATCCTGAAAATTCAAATAAAACATAATAAAGCATCGAAATTGTCTAGATTAGTCCTAAAAATTATTAAATCAATATTATGCAACCATTCAGAAGATTGCTCTGACATGACTTTCTTTATTCGGCAATTGCGGATGTCATGGTTTGCGAGTTCTTTGCATCCTTTACACTTTCGCTTCGGCTGCTCATTCTTTATAGCTCGCTCACCGCCATCAATCAAACGCTTACCGATGCTACAACTTTTGTTTCTAACACTTTCTGGAGCATGTATCTCAATGATCTTAGACTGACACACCCAACAATTTTTCAAAATCATCATCTTTATTAATTAAAAACTATTCTCAACAGGGATGTCCGGTGCACATTTTGACTCTATCAAACGAACCTTTTCCAGAAAAAGAGCAAGTTTCTCCTCATCACCATGAACTCTACTCAGATCTGATCAAACTCAAACTATATATCATTTGTCAATCTATCAGACTGTTCATTGCTTTCAGGTTGGATATGACGAGTATGAAGAACATCCAATGGAATAACACCTCTAATCCATCGCTCATTGTAACACCTCAAACTTCCACATTTGCATATAATATGTACTTCATATAAAAGAAATACAATTTACGCCACAAAAGGTCCCACTAGTACAAGAAACTTATAAATAGAATTTACAACTCAAAAATTCCAAAAGAATGTTTTTGCACTATCACATGTATAACATGTATCTTCAAAATATATCAATCAACAGGTTGATCTTCAAAATAGCAGATAAGCACATTAGGGAACTATTCACATTTTCCCCTTCCCCTTATCCCTTGATCCCGCTGGACCTGCAATGCATATTTTAAAATATAAAATGAGGGTTAAACCGGAAGGTCTAGTGAGAAAATCTCTTCTTTGCAATTACAGTGTGAAGATCACCAAACTTGTTAAAATCATCTTTTGCAAATAGATAAATATATTTTAGCAAAAGCTTGCAAATCGGTTTGTTACCCAGAGTATAAAAACAAACAGATGCATATAACACTTACACGTGCTTCTAGAAATCCACATCTCTTATTAAACACAAACCCCAAAACTCTTCTGGCTCAACGGGCCAGAGCTCCTCTGTCTCTTAAGGACATGGCTCTTCTCTTATACCAGTCCCTCTAGTTGACAGAGCCTATGTACTCACTCCAAATTAAACAAGACTAAACTCAACCAGAGACTCTCTGGACGAAGAGTCTTTGATCCGACTAGACCAACATTTAATTTTAAAGAAAAGAATAATAAGAGGCAACCAGAGCTCCTTTGATTCTTTGCTCCATTTATAAAAGATATTTAAAAGAAATAGACTTATAAAATACAATAAGATTGTTTTAAAAGACAAAACTCAAATATAGAGCTAGGACAAAGAATGCTCGGACACAGAGCTTAGACACAGAGCTAGGACATAGAACTCAAATGCATAACGCGAAAATACAACTTTCATGATACAGAGCGTCTGTATAGTACATATAGAGCCTCTGTATAGTACATACAGAGCCTCTGGATCACAATAACCCCGAAAGCACTTAAAAAATGTAAAATAATTTTGTTTAAAAAAATCGCCACTAAATTCCAATGAAAGAGACTCAAACTGTTCAATGAAACAGACTCATATATAATTGCATCAGGTTCATATGTATAGCAGCTGAATGAAATAGATTTATATTCATAAGTATGTATAATAGTTTATAATAAAACAGGTTCATATGTCATATATGATTGCATCAGGTTCATATGTATAACAGCTGTAATGAAACAGATTCATAGAAATATTTTCCCCGTTTTGCCCTTCCATATCTCCAATATGAGTTTTTTTTTTTACTTTACTTATTTAGTTTGTTTTAATCTTGGCTTTTCATCAAAAAATGGATGGATGTGATTTACTTTGTAAGGTTTGTATGAAATAGATGGTTTGCATGTAAATCTTATCTCTCTCTCTCTCTCTCTCTCTCTCTCTATATATATATATATATATATATATTATGAGGAACGATCAAACGCAAACCACTCATATGTGTACAAACCATGCAAATCACCATCATCCGTCGATTTCATTGTTTAATCTTATGAAAAAATTTCATGAAATTATTTAATCTTATGAAATTGTTTCATATAATACTTTTTTAATGAAGTTGTTTCATATATGGTTATGAAATTGTTTCATATAATACTTATGAAATTTTAATGAAACTGTTTCATATATTTTTCCAAAATTAATATTATGAAAATGATAATATCCATGATTAACACCCTCCAGAATAAAAATAATCAATCAATCTCTCATAATACCAAAAAGATAAACAAAATGAAAAATTATGATTGGTTAAATGAGGTTTATATAAATAACGTGGTTTGCAAAGTAAACATTCTCTTATATTATATATATGTATATATATTCCCCCACCCCAAAAATCTTTCCCCTCGGGTGACCTGTCTACGTGAACTCCATCTCCATCGTAAGGCTATGCAAAAAATCATAAGCAAATGTGACCAAGAGCTTGAAGCAATCCAAATGAAAGAAATTCTACTTCAAGAAAATAGTAAAACTTGACTATGAACTGCCCCTTCTCACCATTTCTATCCTCAGTGTAGAAATTCCACAATAACAAAGGAAAGGGAAACATAATGGTGTTTGATCGAGTGTGTGTAACTACGGGAAAAATCGCTATCTTTTAGGTTAATATAGACAAACCGTGGGAAAAATATGTAAGATTTCGTAACAATGTTTAAATAAAAGTACATAAAAATGATTATGAAATAAAATAAGTCCATAAGATTGAAATCATAAATTTGCATAATATACCATCGATGAAATTAACATGTATCGAACCAGAATGAACTTACTACATTAAAATGAATATCACAAAACGAGTATATGCAATAAAGATTAGCAACATAAGTAATATATCAACACAATAATACATACAAAATACCCACAAAAAAGTATGAATCTATTGCTCTGCCTCCAAGAGAAGAAATGCCATCCACCTAACATTTACCAGACAAAGTTACAAGTTAGTCATAGGTTCCTCCAACTCTTCTCAATACCCAATTGTCATAATCAAACTTATTGTCTTAAGATGGCATAGTCAGTTAATAATGTGGAGATGTACAAAGTTCAGGCTTTCTTCGACTCTGGATTGAAACATTTCAATCCTGTTTTAGTAAGCAAAAAGAATCCCTGACGTTTACAGGCCCAGACTTTTTTGTGTGAAAATGAGCTTGTTCGAGCTTTTTCATGTTAGATAGTTAAAAAACATTGACGTGAATGGGTTTTTAAAGCCTGCTTAAGTCCGAACATTTTTGACTCGGGCTCGAATTAGGCTTTGGGATTTTGGCTTTATGTGTATCTATTGTTCATAGGCATATTAGTGTTTTTCCAAAGGGAAGTGGTTGTTGGTTGAAACAAGTTCAACTCAAATATGGTTGAACTCCAAGGCTCAAGTTTAAATGGTCTCATAGACTTAACTGGTCGTCAAGGTTCAATTTTTCTTGGCTCATAGAGTTTTAAGGTTCAACTATAATTTCATTACAATCATGATTTAAAAAACATATTTACTGTAATAACCAGATCCTGATTATTACCTAAGGTATTTATTACGTGAATATTTGACTAAATGATTTCGTGATAGYATGATAAATTGATACGTGCTAGTATGTGCAGGACGTGATTTTATGCATGATATTATGTGTGCATGTAGAAATATATATGTATGTAAATATTTGATGAAATGTATATATATAATAATA